CTGCTATCTCCCTGGTTCACGTATTTCACTCGACCCCTGCCCCCCCCCCATATGTGCAACTCGAGGCGTTATTCGCCCTCACCTGCATCTGAGTGACTAATTCGAGACTAAAGGCTCTGAGTAGGTCTCATGGTCATGTCTTTGCTACATGGACCACATCTCTTGTAAAACCTACAGTCAGCAAACTAGCTCCAGTCTCCACCATGTCTATCCTGTTTCTAATACCAAGTCTATGACTTGCCATGCCCTAGTCTCTTGTGTGCCAACCCACAAATGTTGTGGTAATGCTTGCTTTGATTGAGTTCAATGCTGAACCACAACGTTTGTGGGTTGGCACACAAGAGACTAGGGCATAGCAAGTCATAGACTTTGTATTAGAGATAGAAACAGGATAGTCGCGGCGGAGACTGGAGCTAGTTGGTTGACAGGAGGTTTTTCTAAAGACGTGGTCCATGTAGCAAGGGCGTGACCATGAGGCTTACTCAGAAGCTTTAGCCTCAGATTAGTCACACAGACGCAGGGATGGTTAATAACGCCTCGAGTAGCACAGATGGGGTGGCAGGAGTCGAGTGAAATGCGTGAACTAGGGAGATAGCAGACGGATCCTACGCAGCAATCTTGCGTTTAATATGGCTCTAAGCTAGGCCCAGTGTAGAATTGCAACATGATCATTTATAGGGATTCAAAGATTTCGAGCATATAAAAGTTTTATAATTGCCTTGACCATCGTGGTCTTATAAGATAGTTCTAGTACATAAGTAAACAATAAAATGTAGTATAAAAAGACTAATCTCCAATTAGGAGACACTTATGTAAGGAATTCTAAACACACAGTTTTGTTGTCAAAGTCTTAGGTAGAGGATGCAAACTTACACTGTCTGGCTGCGATGGTGCTAAGATGGGAGATTTTTCATTTAGATCTTCTTTTTCTCCGGACTGATCCAAATCTGGCTGGTTAAAAGCGTAGGTCTCTGGATCAGACAGAACAGATGCCGCTGATGGAAGATGTAGACAATGGCGGATCAGTTGGCGAGAGTAGTCAGAACGAAAGATGACAATCTCCCGAGTATAAAGACTCAGTCGGCAAGGGTTGCTGACTAGGTGAAGCCAAGTGGGTGGCCGAGGTTCGAACCCATTTTCTTGAGCAGGCTGAAGGAGATCGGGTGGCAAAAAAAGGCTGGCCGAGAGACCGGGCTGAGGGTAGATTATGTTTGGAGCAGGAAGCGCATCATTTGGTCCCGGAACAAGCACCAGCTGGGGCCTCTGATTGACGCGAGATGCCGATGAAGTGGTGCCCGGTCGGCCTGTATTGAGGTGAGGGAAATGATGCAGGAACAGTTGAAGTAATTGGCCCAGCAAGCGCCGCAACAGGCAGATCTGACCGATGGGGTTGAGCAGAAAAATAATAGTGTACTTTTAATAGATAGACCTTAGCCTAATCTAACTTGGCTTGGATTGAATAATTAAGGTATATCATCAGCAAAGGCAGGGCAATTTGATATATCCGCAGAATTAGGTTTAGAAATTTTCAGTGGATCTTAAACAAAAACATCAATCAACTTAAGTCAGTCAAAAAGATGTAAGAACTGACGGTTGGATTGCCCCAAATAAAATAAGTAAAATATACAAGTCATTAAGTAATACCATCGCTGATTGTAATGACAAGTACACGTTTGCCTTGTACGTACTAGCGACACTTTAAGATCGAATGTAAGATAATTGCAACGGAATTGGGCATAAGCGATAGTTTAGTTGAGTCCTAGCATATTAATTGTTCATCACATGTATGATCGTGGAAAAAATATTGACAGTGGCCAGTGAAACAGGATTCGTTCAACGAATAGTCATTCTGTAAAATGAAATTTGCTTGTGCAAGTTGTCCATAAGAGCCAAATGTGTCAGTAATATTGTAAGCCAAGACCAATAGCGATTTAACAAACGGTAAGAGATAACAATGATGCTAATCATGACCAGATGGGAAAAGGCAAATAAAAGGGCGAATGAAGAACGAGATTAAGATACTCACGCGTCTGCCAGGTCCAGAGATCAATCCAGCCTGAGGGTTAATGAAATTGCCGCAGAGGACAAAGGCTGCAGGTGGACAGGTGGTGTCAGCCGCGAAACCAGCGAATAAAGTGGAAAGGTGATCCAGGCAACCGGAGTAGTCAAGGCGAGTCTCTCCGAGCAGAACTAGCATCGAGTCAACACCCGCCTTGTATGCATTATAAACAATTAAAAAATATGAATAAATAGTGAGTAGCACAGAGACATGAGAAACAGTTAAATTTAAAAAAAATAAAACGCAAAAATAGATTACAGGAGTACTAATAATTGTCAGATTATAGAGGGGCGGTGATGCATAGTACCAGATTGTTCTTAATTAAATAATGTTTAAGAGTTGTATAAAGTAAACAAGGATTGATATTTGAATTCTTTTAAAATGATAAGAGTAAGCCTCACGACGCAATTAAACTTG